CTTGGAGTTGTAGTGGATAACTCACTGAAAATGTCGAGACAGTGTGTGACTGCAATAAAGAAGGCCAATGCTATGCTGGGGATTATTAGGAAGGGTATTGAAAACAGATCAGCCAATATAATAATGCCCCTATATAAATCAATGGTGAGACCTCATTTGGAATACTGTGTGCAGTTCTGGTCACCACACCTTAAAAAGGATATTATAGCTTTGGAAAAAGTGCAGAAAAGGGCAACTCGAATGATAAAAGGGTTGGAACACTTTCCCTATGAGGAAAGGTTAAAGCGCTTAGGGCTCTTTAGCTTGGAGAAAAGACGACTGAGGGGTGACATGATCGAGGTTTATAAGATTATGCATGGGAAAGAGCAGGTAAAGAAAGAGGTACTTTTCTCCCTTTCTCACAATACAAGAACTCGTGGGCACTCCATGAAACTGCAGAGCGGTCGGGTTAGAACGGATAAAAGGAAGTACTTCTTCACCCAAAGAGTGATTAACACATGGAATTCACTGCCACAGGAAGTGGTGGGTGCTACAAGCATGGACGGCTTCAAAAGGGAATTAGATAAGCATATGGAGCAGAGGTCCATCAGTGGCTATTAGCCACAAGGTATAGCTAGGGGCTCTGGGGCAAGTGATGCTCTGTCTTCTTGGTGCTTGGGGGGGGGTCAACAGTGGGAGGGCTTCTAATGTCCTGGCCCCACTGCTGGACCTCCTGATGGCACTGGTATTTCTGGCCACTGTGTGACACAGAGTGTTGGACTGGATGGGCCTTTGGCCTGATCCAACATTGGCGTCTCTTATGTTCTTATGTTCTTAAACAGTGTAGATTTATATATTTAAAGCATCTGTGTCCTGCCTTTCTACCCAATTAGGTCTTCAAGATGGTGAACAATTTAAAAAAACCCCTACTTTAAGAACAGTGTATATATGATAACAATTAAAAGAACAAAACGAAAAACAAGGAGGGTCAGTAAAGGAATGGCAGACAAAACAGAAGCGTGTCCACCCAGTGGCAGAGGACAATCCTAGAGAGGGGCAGACAAATCTCATGGGAGGGGTTACATGGCAGGTAGGCACACAGTGATGGGGTCACATGATTGCTTCACTGCACACCCTCATCAGCGGCTAGCTCACAACGAGCTGAGTACATATTTTGAAAAATTCTGCTTCTTAGTTATGCTGACTGGTCTGGCGGTGTGGTCAGGCAATCAGATCAGGCATAAAACTGTAACACAGGTCCACTCAGGCTGCATCCTTGCACTTCAGTTTTGTCACAAAATGGGTAAAAAAGCTTGAGAGAGACAAATTGCATGAACATTTTGGAAGATGGAAGAAAAGTGACTCAACACAGCTGTCCTTTAATGGAATTATAGCCTTTAGCTGCGGTAAGACAGAATGGGTAAAGTTGAATAAGAGAACAAATTGCCTTGGGCCATACAGTGGCTGAATGCTGCCTTCATAAATCGTTGAGAGATTTCTACTATTTAACTTATTTAAAACATTTTTGCCCTGCACTCTCAGTTAAAAACATCACAAGGCAGTCTTAAATGTTCCATAATGAGGAAGCCTATAAATTCACATCTTTGAAAGCTGTGCACATTCCTTTGAGGGGTAAATATGAATTTCAGGTGCATATCATTTACATGGGGGAAAACAGGGCTGAAAAGAGGAAAGCTGCCACAACTTCCCCAATCCTGTTTGGATTCCCTCTCCAGCTACTTTGAAGGCGGATTTTTTTTTTAAAAAAATGAGTAATTGGATCATTAATTTCCTGCCATCTTATTTAATTTATGGGCTCAACTTATGTTGGAATGGAAAAGGGTAGATAGGGAGATATTTTTGTTAGTACAAATGCCCTTGGGGAGAACTTTCTCAGCTTCTAAAGAGCTGAAGAGGATTCGGTTCAGAATGGCTTTATCTGTTTGGCATACAGAAAGTCTCACGCTGGACATCTCCAGTTAAGAGAATTAGGTAGCAGCTGACATGAAAGACCTCCACCTGAGACCCTGGAGAGTCACTGCCAGTCTGAGTAGACAGTGCTGTCCCTGACGGACCAATACAGTATAAGGCAGCTTCATGTGATGCAAAGAGTTACTGTAAGAGAGGCCAAAGGCTTGTGCTTGGTAGTGGATTTTGGGCTTTCTTTAAATGAAATCCCAATATTATATATTACTGATGTGTTTTTGAAATTCTCCTCAGTTTTAAAGTGGTCTGAGAAAAATAAATCCAAAATCTCTTTGAGAGGCAGAATTAGTTACATAGATTATTTTGCATTATACCTCCATAAATAAAATTTTCATGTCCCCCCTACAAATACTACTAGCAACTACCACTGATGAAGAAATACTGATGATAAATCTTGATAAACGACTTTTGTAAATAATCAGAAGTTGAAAAAAATCAGGCAGGGTGCAAAAATACAGAATGTAGTAATGACGTGTGCCTTTATTGACTGGGTAGATGCAAACTCAGGCCATGACAAAGAAACAATTTCTCCATGATTTCTAAATGATTGTGTCTTGGAGCAGACAGTCACGCCTATGACTACTTCCTCGTGGCAATGGTCTTCCAAGTAGCTTTCATTGCCCCAGCATTCACAATGTCAATGGAGCGGCCGCAGAGCAGTCTTCCTCAGTCTCCCACAGCCACCATCTTCAACCACCAGCAGAGGGATTTTTCAGGTTTTCAGGTTTTCAGGTTTCAGGTCTACTGGCTCCCCTGCATTCCCAACTTTTGTTTTAAAGTAAGCATCTAGCTTCCTTTTTTCAGAGATAAAAGGGGAAAGGAATATCTCTGCAATGAAAAGGAACAGAAATTTTTTAAAAATGACAGCTGGTAATACGAAGAACTAGTAGATTATTATAATACTATAGCAATATGTTAATTGCTGCTTTGTTTAAAAGCCTGACAAATCCTTTCAGTGTGTGGGGGGGATGTAGCAGCTGTGGAGTTGAGATAACTGATGTTGATGCAGGTGGAAGCTGCAAAGCTGTAACCCTTTCCATTCACATGTCATGCAAACACACAATTTGTGATTTTTCTAAAAAGCATGTACCAAATCAGGTGTGGGAAAGATCACAGCAAAGTGGAGGAATACACAGAGGTGGACAATTAGGGATGGCATCATAGGGATGCTCCAAAAACCCTTCTCTGATTATGATGCCGAACTACAGCAAAACCTCCATGTGGAAGCAGCCATGGAGCCACCTAGACAACAGGAGAAGCTTCATATAGTGCTAAGAGGTGCTGTCCAAGATCTGATGTCAGACAGAAACATTATAAAGCTGCTTGGAAATAGTAATCACAATGCTAATATAGTCAATGCAGAGGAGAATGCAAAATTGTCTTCCTCCTTCCTCCCATCCAGTGAAATCATATAAAGTCTCATGGTTTCCAGATAGGAAAAGACTTATTCCGGCTATTCCTTTTCAGTTAGGAAAGTCAGATCTATTCAGAAAGCTGGGGCATTATTTTTAACAACTGAAATGTAGAGGGTCTAATAAAACATATACCACGATTTAGGAGTAATGGTGCAAACAAGTTCTAAAGGATGTCAGCATAATTAAATAGCAGAACTGAGTCTCTCAAAAGTGAGTCTTACCTAAATGACAAGAAGTTCAAAAGCACCAGCTCTGAGATCCCTCGGGTAAATTTCTAATAAGACAAGTAAAGACAAGAATATGAACAACAGACTGCAAAATATGTAATAAATTAGAAAATTAGGTACATCCAGAACAGAATATCAGCCAGAGATGCAAATTGGACCATTAGATAACAATGGCATAAATGTAGTGCTGAAGAGACAAGGGAAATTGTAAAGAAGCGGAATGAATTGACCACAACACTTTACTGCAGAAGCTGTTGGAGGCAGATTCACCTCTGACTCTCTTCTTCCTGCACTGCATCTGAAGAACTGTGGGACAGGTCACACACATGAAACTTGAAAAGTAATTGACTAGCTAACAGGGAACACTTCACTGGCACCAAATGGCATTTGCCCAAGAATTCTTCAAGAATCTGAACAGGACATTGGTAGTTGTTTAATTGAAACATTAAATTATTGCTAAAATTAGCCTCTTCAGTGGAAGATTGGAAAGTATCATAGTCATTGTAACACTAATTTTTAAGAAGGGAGTATTACAGCCTAGTATCTGCCATGATCTGGATGTCCCAGGGTAGCTTGATCTCATCAGATCTCAGAAGCTAAGCAAGGTCAGTTTTGGTTAGTATTTGGATGGGAAGCCCAGGGTTACTACACGGAGCCAGGCAATGGCAAACCACCTCTGTTCATATCTTTGGCTTGAAAAGCCTATGGGGCTGCCATAAGTCGGCTGTTACCCAACAGCACTTCCCTCTGAGTTCCGTCCTAAGGAACTGGAAATAGTTGATGGTTACACATGTAGAACAAGATTTACTTGCTGGGAAAAAATCAGCACAAGCTGGGGAATCACGGTGAAACTGACCTATGATTAATGTTAGCTTCCAGAGCTTTTTCATCACCAGCTTATCACTTCCTGGACTGTCCTGATGTTACCTTTGTACCTGAATTTGATGGAAACTAATTCCAGCAATTGTGGAGAATCCCCTTCCGAAAAAGAAAAGAAAAAGTCCCAGTTGACGCAACAAGAACAGCCTCCTTCTCCCCTTTCCCTTTGAGAGAGCTTCTGCCCTGTGGAAACTGACAAGAGAGAGCACTTTCTTCATCAAGGCAGCACAGAGCGTTGCCTCCCCTTCTGGTGCACAAAGGGTTACAGAGACAGAGTTGGAGGGGCCCAGAGGGGAAGAGTCAGTGACGTTCCCGTTCTCTCTCTCCAATCAAGATATAATCAACAGCCCTGGTTCAAGCAGCAGAAGGAAGCAAGGGCTTCTCCGGCAGCCCTTCCTCTCCCGTTCCTGGGGCCTTTTCTCCCCCACCTCGTGTAGCTTTTCCCCTCCCCCTTTCCCCTCCCCTCCCACTACTGGGGTGTCGATTTCTCTTGGCCTGTGTCCCCCTGGAAGCTGCCACCCTGAAGTTTCTGGTGGTGCTCCTGGCCGCAGGGATGCTGGCTTTCCTTGGTGCAATTATTTGCATCATCGCAAGCATCCACCCTGCGGCCAGCAATGCTGGAGCTCTCCAAGGTACCGACAATGGCTCCAACGCCGCGGCTGCAGCTCTGCTGCCCGCCTCCGGTGCTTCCGACAAGACGTTGGGAGCTCTCCATGGTACTGGAGAAAGCACCTTCGGGGGCTTCTCGACAGGCTCCCAGGACTCTCTGTTGGACCTGCTGGCCAGCGCCCGGCCTCAGCAGCACCAGCAGCTCTTCAGCCGCTTCCTGTGCACCCCGCTGACCGTAGAGTGCCCGTCCGAGGGCAGCCCGCAGGGAGACAGCCCCGGGGCGGCTGCCAAAGAAGAGCTTTTCTTCCTCCAAAGCACGGCTGAGCAACTAAGACAGACGGCGCAGCAGCAAAAGGACCAGATCCTCATCGATCAGAAGACCATCCGGGAGCTGACCACCAAGCTCAGCCAGTGTGAGAACGGGCTCGAACTTAGTTTCCAGGACAGTGCCTCGGTTTGGGGCGTCCCCCGGCATGATACCATGGGCGATCTCCCCTGGGATTCGCCTGCCGTGATGCAGGAGCTGGAAGAGGCTGTCAGGACGTTGAAAGACAGGATTGACAAGATGGAGGTAAAACAAACAAACCCAACTCCTTTTACCTGTTACAAACCAGTTCACTGTAGCCCTCCGCCCACCCCGGTCTGTCTACTTCAAAAATTTTCTTGTTCAAGGCTTGTGTATGTTATCTCCCCTCCCCACCCCACCCCACCCCACCCCGGTCATTGCTGCACCCAAAGGGAATGGTTACTTTGTTATGAGGCGCTGACAAGGCTGTTTGTAATCTGCGATCAGCAAGACAGAATTCCATCTCTAGCACAACCAGGGGCCAGGTAGCAACCTCCTGCTGCTGAATAAATTAATTTCAGGACAAATGCTGCAGAAAAGAAATGATGGGCACACAATAGTCTCAGTTTCACAGGCGGGTTCTTGTTTCTCCTTCGGCACTGCACTTCCTTGCCCATGAACCCTCACACACACATTGCTAGAGCCTTTTAAAGGCACTTTAATCATTCCTATAATTAAATGTAATTATAACAGATGATATAATATGTTCTGATAATCAGTTTTAACTAGGCAAGATGTGACTGTGTCTCGCCCTGGGATTGGTGGGTGGAGAATGACTGTGTGTATATATGGAGATAGAGAAGGAGGGGAAACGGCTGGCTGACATGCTGAGTATATTTGTGCGTGTTGCATTCCCTAGTGTTCTTATAAGACATCTCTTCATGCTTGATCTCAAACAGTGGTTGTTTACAGGAATCAGTTATGCATAGAAATGGGCACATCTGCAGATGAATGGGCAGAAAGATGGAGATTGAAAGGCAAACAGACACATGCTTGATCTTTGTGGTTAGTCTAACATCCTTCTCTCCCACCCTTCCCTTGTCCCCAAGCAATATAAAATCATTCCTTAGAGGATATTTTATTTCTGGCCAAGTTTTAATGAACTCTCATGTGGAGACAGAGCTTTCCTCTATTTTATTAAAGGGCTATACATTATGCTATTAAAAGAGGTAGGAGTCATTTTACATATAACCATTTAGAGCATCTGAAAGTGGAACCATTTTATGAAATCTGATTTCAAGTTTAAGGCATATAATTGCTACTTACAATGCCAAACAGGTCTGAGTCCTACTCAGATCTGTCCAATGAGGCTTACTCTCAGGAAGTGTTCTTAGGATGACTCTGTTAACGAGCAATACTAGAAAACTCTACTTGGTATCTTCTGCATGTTATTCAATTGAATTTATGGCCAGGAAAGTGGTCTTAGCATTGCACTGTTACTTTTCCTTTGAACCAATTATTGCTTTAGTTCCCCCGCATGTGTTGTCTCATATTTGTGTTACTAGAACCATTAAAAATTTATGTTTTCAAGCAGAGTGCAGCCTCTTCAGCTGTCAATACTTCTATCAACTTCTCAGGGTAATAAAGGGGACAGAATTAGTTCTTGGGCCAGGATTCAGTGATTTAAGAAATTTGTAGGGACCTGTTCCTGTGAGGATATCTATTCAAATATAATACATGTTGTTACTCCAGTAGAGGTTTCTACACTCCAAACTGTACTACCAGAAAACTAACATGAAACAGACAAATGCTAGATGCATGACTAGTATTATCGTTTTAATATAGAATGAAGCAAGAAATTATTTCATATCCATACAGAAACCTAACCCAAGGGCAACCCATCCCCCCTTCTTTGAAGGATTATATTTTCTTATAACATATTTTAGAATCCTCTCCCCGTATTTCTGTCTGATTAGAAAGGGATGAAAGCAAACCTTACACAAGGAGAAGCAGCTGTGGCTGCAGTTTCCCTTGAGATATCTATTTCTGCTTTATTGCTGAGTCAGAAAGAAGATTATTTAGGATGCAATCCTAAAAACATTTTCCTGGAAGTAAACTTCATTGAATAAAGTAGGGTTTACATATGCATAGACCTGTTTAGGACTGCTGCCTTACAGTGAAATCTTCAGGAAAAGTATTCCAGTCTAAACTCACTGAAATAAAGAAGCTTAAAGTATCGTAACTCTGGATGGAATTGTGCTGTTAGATTCCTATGTCCCAAGAATTTGCTTTCAATAGCTGATAATGAGATACAGATATTATATATACAGATTGCATTTCACACATTATATGACAGCAAATCTAGATTTGCCACTGAGTGTACACTTAAAATTGATCTGTAGCCAATCCCAGTTTTCTGAGTAGAGAATATGTATTATACAGGTTTATTAAATTAACAGCTTACATTTGTAGGTATATATAAAACGTTTTATATATGCAACTAAAATATGGATTCCATCTGGCTTGAGCTGGGCTATATACATTCATATACCCCCTTAGGTCTAGTGTTCTGATCATTTTTCTGAGACATTAGAATGTTCATAAACATTTCAGGAGAAAGCCTTTGGTAGAATATGCTTTTTAAAAAAATTCCATCTGGTCAAACTGTGAGCTGGGCTATATAAATGTGTTTATCGAAGTTAAGAGTCAAAGCTTTGTATATTTATTATTGGTAATCTTTCATATGGTATATCAAAATCTGGAACATTCATTTATCTTCACAGCAGTCCTTTAAAGTGGGCAGTATTATTCCCATTTCATGAGAGGGACTCAAGGAGAAAGTGGGACTTTTTCAAGGTCATTCAGTCAGGTTTTCATGGCTGAGTATGAATGTGAACCCTGGTCTTCCAGTTTCAAATGTAACACTATTTTGAACTACACTTGGGGGTGGTATGTATTTTGGGGGTGGTATGTATTTTTGATAGTAGTAGTGAGGAACAGTACTGGTGGATCATTCCTTTCCTATGGCACCCACATAAAAAACCATAAGGGTAGAAATGGTTCTGATGAGCTGAATTGTGATCAGGAAATCAGAATGACCCTGACCCTGCAGAGTAGGTTAGTGACTATATGAATCTGTGGTCTTCTTCCTTTGCACGAGTCAGCAGCCATTGCTGAACACCTGTTCAATGTGCATATGGCATGTTGTGGTTGGGATTGCACAGTCTGGATCTGTAGGGTGTCTAATGCTGGATGTCCCAAGTTCTTTGTTCTCTTCCAATTATATGATTGTTATTACTTGATGAATTAGACCACAAACATTTCCATATAGATAGGTGAACACTTGTGTGAACACACTATTGCTGAGTGGTGGTTGGAACTCAAGTATCTCAAGTCTATATACATATCGTGACTACTGTACTGTGCTGGTGAAAAGTGCTGTCAAGTCACAGCTGACTGATGGCGACTCCCTGGTGAGGTTTTCAAGGCAAGAGACATTGAGAAGTGGTTTGCCATTGCCTGACTCTGCATCACAACCCTGGTATTCCTTGGAGGTCTATCCAAATACTGTCCAGGGCTGACCCTGTTTAGCTTCCAAGATTGGGAAAGCCTGTGCTATCCAGGTCAGGGCTAACTACTTATTAGGTAAAGGTAAAGGTTTCCCTTGCTCAAAAGCTAGTCAAATCCGATTCTAGGGGGCAGTGCTCATCTCCATTTCCAAGCCAAAGAGCCAGCACTGTCCAAAGACATTTCTGTGGTCATGTAGCCAGCATGACTAAATGCTGAGGCGCACGGAACGCTGTTACCTTCCCACTGAAGCAGTACCTATTTATCTACTTGCAATTTCTTGCTTTCGAACTGCTAGCTTGGCAGAAGCTGGGGCCAGAGATGGGAACTCACCCTGTCACGTGGCACTAAGGTCTCGAACTACCGAACTACAGACTTTCCAGTCTGCAGCTCAGCATCTTAACCTCTGAGCCACCGTGGCTCCCACTACTGTATTACAGTAACTCTAGTAACAGATTGTAAGGAATTCAATGCCCATTTTACCTGGATTTTTTAAAACAAATAAATAATTGCATTTATTAATAAGAAACACAAAGATACGGAAATTTGCTAATGTGAGAGTTGGATGCAGGGGAGGGTGTTAATATCTGTTTTGTCCACTCACCATTTGCTTTTTCTTACAAAACCTCATCCACAGTCGTACTCTTATTCACACTACTCATCCCTTCAAGTGCCACTCCAATATATCCCATTCAGATACACAAAAAGTTTAAATATTTAACTCCACTTTTGTCTCCAATAATAATAATTAACTGCTACTGGGATAGTGCTCCCTCCTCCCTTCCCACCAACAGTTCAATAAGAACCTAGGCACCTCTGAGTAACTGAAATTTCCTGAGCAATTGGAATGTTCATAAGACTTCAGCGGTTGAGCCAGGGAGATTTAATACTTTCCATTTGAATTTGATACATGATCTCTTCCAGCCAATAGCTAGACAATTGCAAAAACTGCAGCCTTCTTGTGTATTTCTTTGTTGTATCTCTCTGATTTGCAGGCCAAAGTATCAGAAAACTATATTTCTGTAAATCTACATGTTCTGGAATTCAATTTTATATTCACTTCATCTCTACAACTAGAAATCTTTCCCTGACAGATGAAACAAAGTTGGCATTGAGATCACTAATTCACACCCACCCACACCCACCCACACTATATCAGTTTATTTATTTTATTTGATAGGAATCAGAAATGGGAAGGGCAGTTTATGGAGTCATACCATTTAAAAACCTTACCCTGGCCCGGTCACACACGAGGATTTGGGCCGGGAGAGGGACAGATCGGATGTGCGGCAAATGGGCGCGATCCCACGGCAACATCTGGGAAGCGTTGCCTGCCCGTCACCGATCCGTTCCTCCCGCCCCAAACCCTGCACCAAAAAAGAACCACCTTCCTGGGTGGTTCATCCGGAAAGGCCGCGGCAAGTGCGGCCGTGGGATCACCAGCACGTCCTTTCACCGGCGCATCCCCGGCTCCTGGCCGAACTGCGCATGTGTGAGCATGCGCAGTTCGCCAGCCTCCCCCTCCCACGGTCGCTTTCTCCCCGGCATCTGATCGTGCTGGGGAGCAACGGCGCCGCGGCTCAAGGGATCCGTGGGATCCCGCCGCGGCGTCTCTAGTTTTGTGCAGCTCAGATTAGCCGTACTTCTGCCGTCGTTTTTCCTGCCGTGTGGCAGGGACCCCTGACTTTCTTTGAGAAGGGGCCATGGCTCAGTGCTAG